CGCGAGAAGATTAGGAAAACAATTCAGCAAAAATTTGTTCATTAATAAATTGTGAGGCAGATAAATAAGAACATTTCCGAATTCTTGGGTTGGAGATACCTCCGATGTACCTAATTCCCTTGCCCACCGTTTTGTCAATCTTCCAAGGAATACCGATCACTAAACTTTAACAGACCGTAAAGATCTAATGCTCAAAGTATTGCAAATCCTCTACAGCGTGAAGGCAAATATGCCGACTTTGCTATGAGATATGTTAAATAGATTGATTTACTGAAATATCAATGAGCTACCACCGGTTAAGAGGTCATACTCCAAGATCAAGAAACAGCCATTTGGCAGACAAACAAGCTGACAAAGTCATTGCAAATAAAAAAAATTTTCTTGAAAACCGACAATCTCAGCTAGAGTAAGTTTGATATAGGTTTGTATGATTAAGGACACGAATCTGGGCAGACAAATTACCATTAATTTATTTTATGCAGCCACCAATGTTGAAGTAGTAGTTGTAGTAGTTATAATGACTGAAATATCCTGGTAAGTGGATGTTCATTCAAGAAAACAAGTAAAACGAGAATGGACCATAAGAAGATTACAACAGATGGATTCAAGTAATGCGATTCCAGCGACAGTCTGGACTATTACCACGATCGCTGATCCGCCTGCTAGGCACCTGGACCACGATACATATATCAACTGGAAAAATTAACATGTTATTAATATTTTATTGTTTCCTTAATTTCACCCTAATATACTGGCAGTGCACCATTATATATTCAACACATTATGTGTTGCTAGTTGTCAAATCAGAAGTAACATCTCCTTGACAGAAAGCGACGTCATTCAACAACGCAAAGATTTGAGTTGAATATAATGTTGAGGCAACTTTTGAAGGCAGTTTGAATAATGTGCAGGGTCAACGTAGCTGAGTGAAACCATCATAGTAAGTAAAATCCGTTGTACTCATTACAAAACCAACTGGGTAAGGTGGTTCGGTTGCTATACCCTGGTGTTTACAGCGCCTCATTTGGAAATGCAAATGCCTAAAATTAACAGGTGATATTCAGCCTACTTTAAATGCGCAATATTTGGGGTGATATATGCAAGTTAATGCAGTAAATAGAAACAAAATTACACAAAACGCTTAAATAACCAATCATTGATGATTAATGGATTATTTTTTTATTCTTGCTATTGGCTATTTACTCTTTTGCTTGACAAATAAATTTACCATACATTTGATGTCATGAAGTAAATATATTTGTATTTATTCAGCGTCAAGCTACATATTTAATGCAAATGAGACTATATCTAAGGTCAAAACATGATAGTATAGCTTGCTTGCCTGCAAGCATCTCATATGCAGCTACGCATTATGGCATAGTTTGCAACGATATGTTCGATACTGGTATTCACTAGGTCATCAGTATAGGCGAATTTGAGGTTCTTTCAAAGCCTCCTGTTGATGCTTCATGATAAAATTCATACAGCTTACAATTCACTTCTAGCCAATGATTTCACCTCTTAAACTCTTCTAATTACTTCTGCTGACCCAACTAGGTAAAACCCGAAATGACAAGATTCGATTGCGGCAAGTAGCCTAAGGACAAATACTGCATGGTTTGTGAAAAGTATCTACTTTGGCATCAGGCAAAGCTGATTTAATCTGCCTTGACACGGCATGGATACATGAGTAGTCTTCAAGGCCTTTCAAATTCGTTCCGTCTGTTCTGCCCTCTATCTGTCGGCCAATGTTAGGAACCATTATCTAAGGGCTCAAAAAATGAGAAAAGTAATCCATTTATTTGGTTAAGAATAATTCCAGTGCATACAGGATGGACTTCAGTATTGGCAATGCTCACCGTACTTATCATTGGTAACATGTGCACTTGAGCCCTTAAATTTG